AGTGCGTTACTTGTAGGCATGTTTAGTCAAATGTTCATCTCATTCCCTCACCTCACGTGATAGTGCGTTACTTGTAGGCATGTTTAGTCAAATGTTCATCTCATTCCCTCACCTCACGTGATAGTGCGTTACTTGTAGGCATGTTTAGTCAAATGTTCATCTCATTCCCTCACCTCACGTGATAGTGCGTTACTTGTAGGCATGTTTAGTCAAATGTTCATCTCATTCCCTCACCTCACGTGATAGTGCGTTACTTGTAGGCATGTTTAGTCAAATGTTCATCTCATTCCCTCACCTCACGTGATAGTGCGTTACTTGTAGGCATGTTTAGTCAAATGTTCATCTCATTCCCTCACCTCACGTGATAGTGCGTTACTTGTAGGCATGTTTAGTCAAATGTTCATCTCATTCCCTCACCTCACGTGATAGTGCGTTACTTGTAGGCATGTTTAGTCAAATGTTCATCTCATTCCCTCACCTCACGTGATAGTGCGTTACTTGTAGGCATGTTTAGTCAAATGTTCATCTCATTACCTCACCTCACTTGATAGTGCGTTACTTGTAGGCATGTTTAGTCAAATGTTCATCTCATTCCCTCACCTCACTTGATAGTGCGTTACTTGTAGGCATGTTTAGTCAAATGTTCATCTCATTCCCTCACCTCACGTGATAGTGCGTTACTTGTAGGCATGTTTAGTCAAATATTCATCTCATTCCCTCACCTCACTTGATAGTGCGTTACTTGTAGGCATGTTTAGTCAAATGTTCATCTCATTCCCTCACCTCACTTGATGTTACCTTTTTAAAAACTTTTTTTTTGGGGGGGAGGAGGGGGGTTGTTATACTCTTAACAAGCTGCACACACTTTGGTTCAATTCTTGTACAATGATAAGTAGCCTTTAAATTCACATCAACTACTGGACATATTTATTTTGTCTTTGGCCACCCTTAGCACCGGGAATGGTGATTCAAAGAACGAAGCTGATTCAAAATATAGATTTGGTGTTGCTGTTGTTGAAATGCTCAGTTTCGATGTTTCGCAATTCCTGCCATTTTAAGAAGGTTTTCTACATTTTTTAACCCGCGTCAGCCATCAGCAAAGCCGTCACGTGACTTTTGTTAGGCCCCCCCGTGGCAGTTTTTGGATTCGTGCCACTCTGAGGTCATAGTTGAGAGTTGAAATATTTCTTTCACCACATAATTCACAACTTGAGGCTCCTTATAAATCAGAGACCACTTAAGTATCAGAGCCGCCCCCCGCCCCTCTTTTGTTGTTGTTGCAGTCGCAGAGGTTGCAGAATCCAAGCGACAGCTGTGGCCATGGGCAGTACGGTTATCAGTAGGCTCATCACTTCAATCATTTTTCACAACAGCAATATAGGCGAATAATAATATATCTCTTTTACCAAGAACTTATTCGTTTAAGTGTTTTCATGTCCCATTTATAGCATGGAATGAAATGGATTATTATCGGACGAATATCTAACGAACTTATTATGGTGTATTCAAAATAATGAACGTATAATATCTTTTTAGGTTATTAATTAGCGTTAAATAGCTTCACTAATTTATATTACCGAGGTACGGCTACCGATCGGTCTCGTGAGAACCCTTGATTCCACGATCGTGCGGAGAGCGTTGTGTTTGTGTGTGTGTGTTTTTTATTTTATAAAAAAAGGAGATCGGAGATTTAGTTTAAAAAATATGATTCCAAATGGTTCCACTGTCGGTCATTGACAGGACAGCAGCGTGGTATCTTGGGGTTCAACAGTCTGTCATTGACATGACAGAAGCGCGTTGTCTTGGGGTTCAACAGTCTGTTATTGACAGTACAGCAGCGTGGTATCTTGGGGTTCAACAGTCTGTTATTGACAGGACAGAAGCGTGGTATCTTGGGGTTCTACAGTCTGTTATTGACAGAACAGAAGCGTGTTATCTTGGGGTTCAACAGTCTGTTATTGACAGGACAGAAGCGTGGTATCTTGGGGTTACCCTGTCTGTTATTGACAGAACAGAAGCGTGGTATCTTGGGGTTCAACAGTCTGTTATTGACATAATAGAAGCGTGTTATTTCGGGGTTCAACAGTCTGTTATTGACAGAACAGAAGCGTGTTATCTTGGGGTTCAACAGTCTGTTATTGACAGAACAGAAGCGTGGTATCTTGGGGTTCAACAGTCTGTTATTGACTGGACAGAAGCGTGGTATCTCGGGGTTCCACTGTCTGTCATTGACAGGACAGAAGCGCGTTGTTTTGGGGTTCCCCTGTCTGTTATTGACAGGACAGAAGCGTAGTATCTTGGGGTTCCTCTGTCTGTTATTGACAGGACAGAAGCGTGGTATCTTGGGGTTCTCCTGTCTGTTATTGACAGAACAGAATCGTGCTATTTCGGGGTTGAACAGTCTGTTATTGACAGGACAGAAGCGTGGTATCTTGGGGTTCCCCTGTCTGTTATTGACAGAACAGAAGCGTGTTATTTCGGGGTTCAACAGTCTGTTATTGACAGAACAGAAGCGTGTTATTTCGGGGTTCAACAGTCTGTTATTGACAGAACAGAAGCGTGTTATCTTGGGGTTCAACAGTCTGTTATTGACAGGACAGAAGCGTGGTATCTTGGGGTTCAACAGTCTGTTATTGACTGGACAGAAGCGTGGTATCTCGGGGTTCCACTGTCTGTCATTGACAGGACAGAAGCGCGTTGTTTTGGGGTTCCCCTGTCTGTTATTGACAGGAAAGTAGCGTGGTATCTTGGGGTTCCTCTGTCTGTTATTGACAGGACAGAAGCGTGGTATCTCGGGGTTCCACTGTCTGTCATTGACAGGACAGAAGCACGTTGTTTTGGGGTTCCCCTGTCTGTTATTGACAGGACAGAAGCGTGGTATCTTGGGGTTCTCCTGTCTGTTATTGACAGAACAGAAGCGTGTTATTTCGGGGTTCAACAGTCTGTTATTGACAGGACAGAAGCGTGTTATCTTGGGTTCAACAGTCTGTTATTGACTGGACAGAAGCGTGGTATCTCGGGGTTCCACTGTCTGTCATTGACAGGACAGTAGCGCGTTGTCTTGGGGTTCCACTGTCTGTCATTGACAGGACAGAAGCGAGGTATCTTGGGGTTCAACAGTCTGTTATTGACAGGACAGCAGCGTGTTATCTTTTGGTTCAACAGTCTGTTATTGACAGGACAGAAGCGCGTTGTTTTGGGGTTCCCCTGTCTGTTATTGACAGGACAGAAGCGTGTTATTTCGGGGTTCAACAGTCTGTTATTTACAGGACAGAAGCGTGTTATCTTGGGGTTCAACAGTCTGTTATTGACTGGACAGAAGCGTGGTATCTCGGGGTTCCACTGTCTGCCATTGACAGGACAGAAGCGTGGTATCTCAAGGTTACACTGTCTGTTATTGACAGGACAGAAGCGCGTTATGTCGGGTTCCACTGTCTGTTATTGAATTTTTTAATGTCTTGTGATTTGCGACATGTGTAAATGTCTTGCTATTGACGGCATGTTTAATGGATTGTCATTGACGACATATTAATATCTTGTTATATACGACATATTTACTGTCTTGTTATTGACGACATATTTTATGTCTTGTTATTGACGACATATTTACTGTCTTTTTATTGACGCCATATTTAATGTCTTGTTATCGACGGCATATTTAATGTCTTGTTATTGACGACATATTTAATGTCTTGAATGAAATAGCAAC